AGAGAGAGAAGAGACTTGCTATCTACCCCCTGATAGCATCAGTGTCATCTTATGGTCCAAATTATTTCTAGTTATGAGTCTCATTTTGATAATTAATATTCATGATCAACCATTACATGTTTCATTCCATAGCAAGCAAAAATATTAAGCTTGTGCCAACCTCAAAGCTTCTGCTTCATTGGCCCAGCCCTGACTGCCTGATCCAGCTTGCATTTCCCTGCTCCTTACTCTTGCCTACTCCTTACTCTTTATCCAGTGTGTTTCCTCCCCATGTTGTCCATTGGCTATCATCACTGCCCAGCATAGACCCCTGGCTATCAGATGTAGCTCTTTTGGCCATTATACGTTTCCCTTCCCTTGCAAAGTCTGCAAGTAGATATTCACATAACCAGATCTCCTGATATATGTAATGATCTCTACTTTTGATGTCTGTGATGCCAAAAGACAACACACACACACACACACAGAGAGAGAGAGAGAGAGTGGGGCAGGGGAAGATTTCATTGATCCCACAAGGCTATCATCCTGGGTTAAGTTCCTTCAAGGGAGCCTAGCCTTGTATCTTGCTTGTCAACCACTTGACTAATGGAATTTGCTCAACTATGCCATGCTAAACTTTACTTTGTTTGGTCTGTACATAGTCATCATCAGTGCAAAGCCTCAGTGCTCTGCTTCTGGCCAGCAGCATGCTTTAACAGAGAGGCAAGCATCATCTTCTACAATCAATTGCCAAGCTGATTCCTCTGTCTGACAGTCACCTAGACACACTCCACTCCAGCGATAACAGATCAGGTTTAGCTACTTCTGTGCTCCAGACACAAACCACAAGAAGCAAGGACTGCCAATTTCTCTGCTTTCATTCTCTCTGCATGATGTACTTGGAGCCTGTTTCCAGAACCTAGGAAATGTCGGGGGTGGGGGGTAAGGAATGGGAACATTAGGTAAATAACTCCCCTATCCTATCTTGGCTCAGAAATTTCCAATGATTTTCCAACACACTCAAAAATTATTTTCTTAGCCTATAAAATACCACACAGTTGGCAACCTCCATCCCAGCCTACCTGCAGCCACTCTGTCTTGTTTATAACATTCTGTCTCTTACTCAGTACACTCCAGGGCTACTGGATTCTTTGACCTCTTTTTCCATTCAAGTCCAGCATATGAATAATGTGCAACCCAGATCAGGGGGTAACTCTGTTACTTTGTTTCAACCTTCTTTTGTGTTTCTGCAGAGAAGACCCAGACTTTCTCCACCATACATTGAGACACTAGTTATTCACATGTTGTTAATGGCTCATCTCCATTAAGCAAAATGTTAACTTTAATTATCAGAGGGACATAATTTGTCTCCTTCAATGATAAAGACAGAATGATGCTTGGTTTTCATTAGGTATTTAGTAAGTATTTGTGAAAGTTTAAACTTTGGAAAACTCCCCAGATTCTGTTTCTTTGAATTGGTTAGGAAGATGGACTACTGGTGTCCCCAGAACCTTGATGTTGCCTTTGAAGGAACTCTCAAACTGATAAACTAATCACCTGGCAGTCCTCTCTGGAGCACTACTTGAAATTCCTGAATGAAGAAGTGTGAGTTTCACCTCCTGTCACAGACAGCCCTGTTGCTCACTCTCCATCCCTACCATTCCTGGTTTCATCCACTCTGTTCAGCCAGGTTATCAACTCTGAAGGGGCTACTTGCTTTCAGAAGTAATGGCACTGAACAGTAACCCAGCTTCACTCTCAAACTGCCCCTGGGGTGTTTGAAGGCTTCCATAAATCTCATCTTACATTATAATGTGTGTGGTGGTTGAAATGTGACCTCACTCAGGAGGGTAGCCACATTGCTGTCTGTCTGTCTACATGTTGAGTGGATTCTACTGTAATCTTATTTCTCCTGTACTGGTCCTTCCCAGCATACCCTCTGTCTTCTTGGCTATGTATTCATATTCCCATCTACATCTCCCACGAGACCTTCTTGGGTAGTCTAGAACCCGATAGCCTTGGTTTCTGTGATTTTTAAAAAATGAAAGTATTTGACTTTATTATTTCACAGTTCGCATGGTGTGTCTAAGTTTTATCTATCTGCCTTTTCTTTTCTCACTTGGTGTCGTTCTTAGTAAACATACCAACAGAGCAGATAGATACTCAATGACTTGACTCAAAAGTTGACATTTTGTCAAAACACACAGTTTTCTATCTAATGCACTCTCACCACTTCTGATAACATGCTTGAGGGGACTGGCTCCTGCATGAATCAGTGGCAAAAATGACTGCATTTAGTTAAGGCCTGTCTTAGGTGGATCAGAAATCCAAAGCCTTTTAATCTATGAGTTTAGTCTGAGGTCTTGAAACATATGAGTTTTTCCCCTTGTGACTCCAACATACTATTTTGACAAATGATGATCAAATATTAGGATACAGTAATAACGTATCCCTGAAAGCCTACGTCCTCATACAGCATCCTGGCTTATGGTGTTTTGGCATCTACCCGTGTAAAGGTAGCTAAGAAACTGTATTCACACTGCTTTCTAGCTCCCATGTTTATCAGAAGTGACAGCTTTTAACAGGGGTAGGCATATTATTATGCAGCAGAGCAGAAATAGAACAACAACAACATTATTATTATTATCAAATGAAAGAATTAAAAAGAAATATCCAGTTAAGACATTTGACCCCCCCATGTGTTCTATCATGTGCATACCCCTAGAGGCTTCTACTAGAGACTATTAAAGATAGTGTAAATTTCATTCCCTGTCCTATCAGGCTATCACTTAAAGGTAGACTTCTGTGGCTAGGAGATATCTCAGCTGGTTGAGTACTTGTTGCAAAATCATGGGGACATGAGTTGGATTACCAGCACCCTCACAAAGAGGCATGGTGGCCATAACTGGCTGGCCAGCCTAGCCTAGTTAGTAAGCCACAGGTCCAGGGACATACCGTGTCTTGAATGGAAGGTGAGACACTCCTGAGGAACGACACCTGAAGTTGGCCTCTGTCATCTACACACACATGTGCCATATACATGTGCACCCAACTCCCAGCCACACTCACAGAGCAGTCATTGCTGAAATTCACTGACACAATAAATATTGCTGTGGGGTCTGCACAACAAAGCTAACTTGAAAATTGGGTCCCTGGGAAAATAACAGGGGCTGTATTGGCCTTTGAAACTATGATGAAGGTTACTCTCTGCAGGGTCACTGCAGGATGTGCTGTAAGGACACTCTCTAGTAAGTGGAAAAATAACTTCTTCGGTCTATCAAAATGTCAGGGTTTCCCTTGACTGCTGCCTTTTCAGAAATATGCTTGCGCTTATCCAAGTTTCTGAGAGTACTGTTGCTGAGGGTCCTGACCAGAGCCTAAACCAATGACAGTTTAAAAATTAGTTTGCATGGTGACTGAAAATTAATGCTCAGTGTATGTTATTAGGAAACTTTATGGCTCAGACTTGATGTTGGGCCAGTGAAGTGACTCAGTGGGTAAGGTACTTGCTGCCAAACCTGATGGCCTAAGTTTGATCCAATGATCCCACATGACAGATGGAGAAAAGCTGTCCTGTATTATCACAGGTATGCTATGCTATGCACATACCACACACACAAACACAATAAAATTAAAAGCAATGGCTTGAGACATAACCCGGTTCATGTGTGCTTGCCTGACTTTGACATGTGCAAAGCACACTACACCTATTTGTGATTGGTTAAATGTCCAGCCAGAGACTCTAGAGTAGCACAATGGGGATTGCCAATCATGTCATAATCCCATTCAGTTTTCAAAAAAAATTATAACAGAGAAAATAATCACTTTACATTTCATAGAGAAGGCATGTATAGAAGGTTGTGCTGTGTCTCAGAAATATGTGACCTCTCTGGAACATTATTTCAAACTCGTAACTACTCTCAGCTTATGGAAAACACTGTGTGGAAATCATGTGCAGACTCTTCATGAGTCTGTACATTGATTTTTTTTTTCTGTTTTGTGTTTTGAGAAAACCCAGACTGATCTGAACTAATGGCTATCCCCCTGCTTCAGCTTCCTGAGTACTGCAATAACAAATGTGAGTCACTGGTGCACTCGGATTTACTTTTCTGATCTCATTCACCACAGCAAATGGAATAGCAACCTATCGAGAAGTCAGGAAATTGTTACATGCTAACTGTACACCAGCACCACAAAGTATGCCAGCATCTAAAATGAAATGACCACTCAATTTTTTAAGAAATCAAATGTTTTTGATAAGGGCATTCATTATGGGACCTTCCAATTCCTAGACTCCCAACCACAAACCACATATGAGCTGGAGTTACCGAAGAAACAAATCTATGTGGCAGTGATTCAAATGCAAAGAAATGTCAGAGACCATTTGGAGGAAGTTAGTGATACTGAGGAGTTTCTCAATTTGGAAATTGATGGTGGCAGTCAGTGTAAGAGCCAACCATAGAGATTTACACTACAAGATCCAGACAGAGACAGGTGATGACATTGGCTCAGAGAGCCCAGATTCTGCAGGTCTCATCGTGATTCTCAGGGGCTTTCTTACACCACCATAGTCAACATTACTGAAGACATCCTACAGAGAAAACTGGAGAAGGTGACAGGCATGTCAGGAAGGCTAACAGTCCATGTAGTCATCACAGTTGTCTGCAGATGCACCTTTGGCCAGAGAATGCCATGTCATCTGTCTTCAGTCTTGGAAAGGAAAGGGTGTAGAGAGAGGAAGTTATGTTCCCCATAGTCCAGCTTTTGCTGTATTTACCAAGGCTTCTCTTCCTTGTGCTTTTCTTTAACAAACCTGATGTGCTTGGGTTCACCTTATTCCTCACAGGGATATTTTCTTCCTGCCTCTGAAACTTCAAGTGAACCTTGCCATCTAGTACTCTCCCCAAACTAAAACAGTTAGGGCTCTCTCTCTCTCTCTCTCTCTCTCTCTCTAACACACACACACACACATACACACAAATATGTATTTACATGTATATGTATGTTTTTATCTGTTTCAGATCCCTTCAAATAGATTGGACAACACCAACAAATCCAAATGGTATCATTCTCCAGTATGACGTTTTACGGAAAACATGGCGCCCATGCTCTGAAACCCAGAAGTTAACAGACAAAGCCAGTGATGAGCTTTGCAAAGCAATCAAGTGCCAATACCCTGGAAATATCTGTGGACACACTTGCTACTCTCCAGGAACTAAGGTAGACCTCTTCACACACAAACACACACACACACACACACACACACACACACACACCAGGGAAAGCCAAGGTCCCCACCATGCTCTATTATGACAAATGCTTCCCATGTTACTGCTGAGAAGGAAGTATTCCTACCAAAACCCTACTGGCCTCATGAGCATTCAACCTTGCCATTTTTCATCACACTTTTAGGAAATGTGGGTTTATTAGGATGATAAGGGCCCCCTGAATTTTATTGGCCTGAGGGATTTGAAATTTCCATTATTGTCAGTACTTTCCGCTCCAAATATCTGTCTGTTCACACAGCTCTGATGAGTTGCCATGAACTGGACTGTTCCTGGTTTGTCAGAAATATTTTAGAATTATGGTCATTTATAGATTAATGTTCATATTAGTTGCTGTTTAGGAATCAGATCAATAATACAGCCAGACAGAGGGTTTTGTAAATGGCTTTTATTGACAAACAACACAGAAAACTACTTTGTTTGAAGGTAAGATTTCATCTAATGAAATAATGTCCTATTTATCAGTAGCATTGTGTGTTCGATGACTAAGGCTACTCCTAAATCCATAAGATTCACTAGGAAGGAACTCCGTAATTAATAAAGTGAGTTTCTAAAGCAATATGGATCGAAATACAAATTATTGTGGCTGCCACATGCTTAGCAGTAGTTACTATGTAAGAGACACAGAAAGCCAGCTGCCTGGAAACCTTACAAATTTTATATCTCTAAAACTGTTATGTGTTCGTTTAAGAGTGCACATGTGTGTAGTATAGACATGAGCATGCATATGTACGTAGAAAGCTCATGCTAGGGACTTTTTTATAAAAAAATATCCGCTAGTTAAAATCATGACTTTTAGAAAAACAAATGTATCTTGTCTAGTATTTTTTTATACAGGGAGTTGATATTATTTTTGATGAAAAGTTCAGAAAAAAAATACTTTTAAAAAGCCTCCTCGTGGAACTCTTCAGAGTGGTGTATAGCTTTGTGTTCTTTTTATGCAGAATATGGCATTGAAAGGAAGAGTCATCCAGCTTATACATCAAGTGAGACTGACCCTGAATTCTCACTGCTAACAACTAATTACAAGGCAATTGTGCGTGTGTTACTCTTTGGTTAGGAGCCTGGGTGGCTGGATTAGAGTGGATTCCTTTGCTCTTAGGAAACTTTGTAAATGAGCCCCTAAGCAAGGGGGCCTGTGGAAAGACTCTGTGATGCTGTGATCTCTGTCGCTGCTCTAAATTTTCTTCCAACATGGAAACATCACCGAGAGGAAAATGGAAAGTGCTTGATAAACAGTGTCGATTTTTGTCTGCCATAGGAGTGTCTGTCTAACTGAAGGAACTCGGGCCAAGAACAAGTTCTGAGGCTGTTTTGCAGCTGCTATTCAGGGTTTGATTTGGTTTATATATAGCATAAAGATACAAATACTTATTTGATTGTTCAAGCACATAATTTCTCTGCAGCTAGCTCCGGGCAAAAACACAGAGTTAAAAGGACTTTTCAACATTAATTTCCATATAAATTTATTTTTGTATTGTAGTAGTCTGCAATATATGTTTGCACAGGTGTATGTATGTGTGTGATATATACATATGTGTATACATACATAGAGAGAGGAGAAAGAGATTGCCTTATTGGAAGAGTAGGTCAATAAATAAATAATCATTTACATTATAAGGAAATTTCAGTTTATTTAACAAAAAGGATGAATGAGAATCAGTTTGCTTCTTGGTGTGATTTTTCAAGTTAAGCAATCATTAGAATTAGTGTGTGTGTGTCTGAAGAAAATGATTCATTTGCAATTTTAAGTACTGGAAGCATGTTTTGAGTACTGTATACTGGAAGCAGCGACATTCTAAAGGTAATTTACATTCACATAATGTCATAACACAGAGCAAAGCTTAGTTGAATAGAAGGAAAGCTACATTGTATCAACGTGTGGGAAAAAAAATGAGCGCGGGGTGGCTTGGCCCACTCAGCAACAGCCCGTGGGCTGGGCCGATGCGGTGGAGGCAGAGGCAGCCCGCGGGGGCAGGGCAGCAGAGTCCCAGGGGCTTCCCCGATAGCAGGTTCCCACTTACCAGAGAAGGTCTAGGGTTCCAGAGGCTGGAAGCTTGTTGGCGCAGCTCAGAAGACACATGGAGTCCAAGAGATCACAGCTTTATTGTCCATGACGGGAAAGTTGGATCTGGATGTTAGTGCCCCCCGCCAATGCCAGGAGGAACTCTCTTATATAGGGAGTGGGAAAGAGGAGGGACTGGGGAGGAATAATTTAATTATCTACGCCCCCCCCCCCGCCTTTAGATAACTCATTAATATGTAACTCTCTCGAGGCAGAGGCCTGTTAGTCACGCCCTCCACCTGTGTCTTACGTGACTGAGGTGCAGGTTAAATGGAAATGAGACCTCGTGTCAAGGCTATGGGTTCTGGGGGTGTGGCTGGACACCTACAGTCTCGGGGTTCCAGGCCCATGCCAACCAGAGAACCAAGATACCCTTCTATAGCTCGACATCAACTGACATTTGTGGAATTTGATTTACAGCAGGTTGGTAATATAGCCACCTTTCCAGGCCTTTTGAGAAAGATAGTTATACTCCATGAGATACAGTATTCTTAATTGAACAGATGTATTTTTTTAAATGTAAAGTTTCTTGTATTTAAAATATTTCCCTAAAACCTATTCCAAATATTCAGGTATGTTGTGGCAGGCTCCTGTATGACCGTCAGCCTGGATACATGTGCTGTGAAGAGAAATACATCGCACTCCTTCCGAATGCCACTGAAGTTTGTTGTGGAGGACGAATGCAGGAGGCACAGCCAGACCACCAGTGCTGCTTTGGGCATTACACTAGAATTCTTGCAGGTGAGCATCATTTCCCACAGTATTTAACAGCTTAGAAGCTGAAACTGTAAGCCTGTGTCCCATGCCAGCTAACCCTTTCAAGAACTTTTCCATCAAAACCTGAACCACAGAGGCACGGCAAGGGGTATGTTTCCACAGAGGCACGGCAAGGGGTATGTTTTAAAGGTTGTTTCTCCATCTGTGGTGGAAGGAGCTAAGAAGAATGGCTTATCAGACCTTCCAATATCTACTGAAGACAGGAACGTTCATGGAGATCTTATCTTGTGTGGCTTGATTCATTCACATACTTCGTGGTTTCATCGTCAAATCTATGAATCAGGAACTGTCTGTGATGGGTCCTCTGCAGTGTCATCTTGGCTGGATTTGAAATCACTTGGGAAACACACCTTTGACAGGGAGCAAGTTTCCAAGAGGCTTTAATGAGAAGAGAAAAACCCCAGGCTGGATGCGGGCAGTATCATCCCATACGCTGTAGTCCTAAACAGAATAAAACAAAAAACGAAAAGAAGCCAGCTGGGTTTCATCCCTCTCTGCTTCATAGCTACAGAGCCAATGTGACTTCATGTTCCCGTATCAGGACTTCTTCACCGTAAGTGAGTGTGTCCTCAAGTGTGGGCTGCCGTCACCCTTCCTAACTCAAGTTGTTTTGCTACATACTTTGCCACAGTCAAGAGAAAAGCAATGGGCAACCAATCCACTGCCCAGGCTCTGAAACATGCCTTCACTCCCTCCATTTCTCTTCTGAGGACCACATGCCTCATTCCTAAGTGGATGATAGCTGCAGGCTCCATTTATGTGAGCATTCTAAACACCCAGTGGTTAAGACTGTCAGCTAAGTAAGCTGGACAGTGTTTTCCAAATTTAAACGACATCAAAAAGTGCCTAGTAAATGTCACAGGGAGTGAGGACAGTGGCAGCCACAGTTTATAAAATGGAAGACATCAGATAGACCTTGTATTTAAAGATTTTTCCCCTAACTTAGCTGCAGTTTACAGTAATGAACTGGGTTTAGAAGAAATCCACAGTGCACCAAGATTGGTATACGACCTGAAAGTTCAAGATGGGAATACTGCTGTGTTCTGTCAAAATCCCTCTCCTGATGCTAGTCAGAGGGAGCTTCCACCCAGTGATAACAATATCTAGCTATAACAGAAACAAAACAGGAGGCAGAGGATGGACATTACAGGTACAAGCTTCTTTTGGAAGAGAAAGGAGGTTGCAGAGAAGCAATGAATGCTAATTAAAACATCCGTACTGCCTTTTCAGCAAATCAAAAACCCAAGCCTGGTTGTTGGAATGGGCTGGACTTGGGTAGCTTTCCATTAGTCATGAGGTTAGAATTTATTTACTTATTTGCACGAGTGTGTGCTGTATGCATGCAAGCATGTGCCGAGTCCAGAAGAGGTTGTCCAATATTCTGGCCTATCATTCTCTGCCTTATTCCATTGAGGCAGTGTCTGGCTGGTGGCTAGCCAGCTACAGGTTTACAGGGTGGCAACCATTCCCTACTTTTAAAGTTCTTCACTTTTTCAAGGCAACCATTGTTACCCACTGAGCCATCCTACCCAGGGGCCGGCATTCTGCCTCCTGCCTTCTCCCTGTCCCATGTGGATCAGCAACCAGCTTGCTTGGGTGACACCATGGTACTGTCACTTTGTATCCAGCAGGTTTGATATGAGCACGGGGGTGAGAGAGGGAGAGTACATTCTACTTGTGGATGACAGGGAAGGGAGGGACGTTACTTTTAGTAGCTATTTGGTTACGGACAAGGGTCCCCAAATCTTCCTGCCTCTTCTTCCTGTTGTGTTCTCTATCTGCTTCATTAACATTGCTGGTGCTTTTAAAGGATTATTCTAGACCAATACACTGTTACTGACACTGGAAAAGCCACTGTAGATAGATAAGTTTCCTGTCGCCTAAGTTTACTACTGATATCTTTCTCTTTTTAAAGATTTTCTGTTTGCTTGCTTGCTTGCTTATGTGTGTGTGTTAGTCAGATCATGAGTCTGATCTCTGAGAACTGGAGTTACAGGTGGCTAAGAGTCATCTGAGATGGGTGCTGGGAGCCGAGCCCAGGTCCTCTAGAAAAGTAGCAAGCTCCCTTAACCACTGAGCTGTCCTTCCAGGGCCAGAACACTGGCATTTTCTTAATGACAAGAAAGGAAACTTGGAAGAGAAGAGAGGGGTTTTTTTTTTTCAGATGCTTAAGGGAGCCAAGTGCTCTGAGACACACAGCTCAGCATGGACTTGGTGCAGAACATGTCCCTAGTTAAGGCATTAATGTTCAAATGCTCAATGTATTATTCCATATGGAACCACCCACGGAGATGATGAGAGGAATTCTCTGACCCTGTTTTTTTGCAAAGCACAGGATCAAACATGGAAGGTATTTAGATAAATACTCCAAGTTAATTCATGATGGTGAACGTTCACTCAATGACTATCTTTCCCTCCCCCACTGACTCACAGAGGACCAAAAAATCTATATAGTAATGTTATTGTGTCTAATTCTTCAACAACAAGAATACATTCATAATTGAGTAAATCATAACAATGGTTTTTTGAGGGACATATGTTGCTGGGAGTGTAAGGATTTTGTGGACAAATGTTGCCTTGTTTATTAAATCCTGTTTCACAGTTTTTAGCAACTGATCAAATCAAGCTTGTCAGATGCTCTACTGTCTCTGAATGTCCACAGCGGGGGTTCAGCTATGATTCTTCTTTCTTCCTGCAAATAACTGCTTTAAAACTTAAAGAAATGAGACGGACACTTCCTGGGGTCTGCTCTCAGCTTCCTCCATGCCAGAAGAGCCTGGAAGGACCCTCTGAGTCTCGCACACCCAGCACTAAACAGAATGCAAATAGCTCATATGAATACGTACTAGAGTTTTCTTTCAAAGTCACTTTGAAATTTTTGATATTATCATTTGCAACAAACTATTGAAGCCCTGAAAATAATTCTGGACCACAAAATTCATGATAAACACGTGCCCTCATTCGGCCCATCTAGCATCGAACACAAAAGCTCTGCCTGCCTGTGCCTCTTCACACCCAGTAGTACAGGGCTAAGGAAACAATCCACTTTTATTTTGCTTCAAAATAAAATTTAATGTTTGCCCCCAACGAATTAAATAAATGGAAACCTATAGGGCTTTCACTGATATTAGATTAGCCTCCAAATAACTGACTGTGAACGCGTATATCTACATGGGACATGTGGACATGTTTCTGTATACATGCACCTGTGTGTAGTCTAGAGATTAAAGGTAGAAGTTGGTGTTTACCTCAATTGCACTTCACTTAGAAACCTGGTTTTTAACTGTGTGTGTGTGTGTGTTCATGCAGGTAAAGTGCAAGTGGAAAGAGAAAGAACACAGAAATGTTCCAAAGCATGTGGAAGTCAGGGGGTGACTTTTGAGTGTCTGTTCTTACCTTTCTCCACGTTGAGGCAGGGTCTCTCATTTTTCTGTCACCATATAGCATCCTCCAGAATAGGTGGCCCATAAGCTTCCGGTCAAGTCTGTCATCTCTCCTCTTCCCATCTTTTCTTAGGAGTCCTAGGATTAGGGATGAGGGCTACCACATCCTGCTTTTTATGCTAGTTTTGGAGGACAAATGCACATAGTCAAGCTTGAGTGGCGAATGCTTGTACACAGCCAGCTCCCCTGGCCTCCACCTTCTTTGAGACAGTAGCTCTCACTGAACCTGGAGCTAACCATTCAACTAGATAGGTTGGCCACCAAGCTCCGCGCACCCTCCTGACTCTGTTTCATCAGCTCTTCAACTGCAGGCACAGACCACAGGTTGATTAGTTTGTTGTTGTTGTTGCTGCAGCTGCTACTGCTGCTGTTGCTGCTGTTGTTTCTGTGGATGCTCAGTAGATTCTCATAGTTTTCTGACTACCCTCTTTCTTCAGCCCTTAGCAACTGATTTTTAAAGCAAGAGTTTAATTTTCTACACCATACAGATATATGTGGATAACCTACCTGTCAAATTTATATGCGTATCTGTGCACATACAACACACATGCATGCATATATATGATATGCACACAGCACACATACTGAGTCACGGCATTTTAATATCTGCTGAACTGTTGAGCCCGTCTCACACCCGTGTCCTTTGAAGCACTTGTTTTTCCACAGTGTTACATTATCCCATCTTGTCAAGATACAAAAGAAAAAAAAAAAAAAAAAAGACTTAAAGAAGCCATCCTCAGGGAGAATCGGGCTCTGCTTCAGTTGTTAATCTGTATATATCTAAATGAAGGGATGCTTTTCTGACCTGGGTCCTCAGCCTCATGGTCTTTGTTAAGTAGTTTAGGACCATTTACATCAAGAAAGAAATGTAGTGGCCCCAAACTGTCTTGTATCTTGCTGTAATTAAAATCCAATCGGTAGTCTCCAATCTTAAGGCTGAGATGCATGCAGGCATTTTGATATTTATAGAGCTGAAATATTGGTTAATAGTATTACTCCTTTTTTCCTCTCAAGACTTTGCTCCGTAGCTACACATTATAAAGAGCAGCAGAGAAGAAGACTCACTCCTTCGCCCCACTTTTTTTATAAATATGCTAATGACCCCAGAGAAGTGTTAATGTGGGTCATTCTTTGATAAGAATAACAATTAACTTTTAGGCTGCATGGTACCATTTAGAGAGGAAACATCTTCAAGCCTGGCCTGAAAGACTCATTTTTAGAGGTTAATGAGAAGGTGACTGATCCTTGTATCTTATGTCTAATAGCCCTTTTTTTTCTTTTTTTGAGGGGAAAGAGAGTTTTACTTCTCATTGATATAATACACATCCCGTTGTCTTCTCTTTTTTTCATTTTCTTGAACCTCTTCTACAGGCAGTAAATGAATTCGGGGAACTATGACTAAAATAATTAACACAATCCAGGAGAGGTTTCACACAAAAGTTTGTCTTTCCCCAATATAGATGTAAGCAGTGTGTTTCCTCTAAGCTCACAACTATGCTAGGTAATGCCCCAGAACCATGA